CTGCTGGCTTGGAAGCGTGTCGCGGCGTGTGTGCTCCCTGGCTTCTTTTGGAGGTGATGTCTGGCACCTCCCTGCCATCACACTGAGAAAACTGCCGACAGGTTAATTGGGATCGTTCTTGTTTCTGCCCCTGTAGCTTTATAGCTTGCTAAAGCTGCTTTGGAAAGACAATTTTTGGCTTATATTGAATCATCTGTTCTTTTAGAAGTAGATGGTGGGACTACAATGGGTCTGTTAAAAATGCTAGCTTGAGCAGTAGTGAGCAAGAAACAAGTTTAATAGGAATTTCTAGCTTTTAGGAAGGGAATTAAGAATAAAATATATTTAAATAATACGCATTGGAGAGCATCAGTGTAACATTAGTAATCAATCCATGGTGTTCCTGTGTTTTGAAGGGTGCCCAACCTCAGAAAAAATAGAGTAGAGCTCAAAAAAGGTTCGGGGAACAGTAATGTGATGAAAAGCACCATGTGGCTTCCTTAGCAAGGAGGACTGGGACCCTTCAGTGTGGAAGGGTGAGAACTGAGGGCTGGGCTGGGCGATGAAGTAAAGGGATGAGTAGCATGGAGAAGGTGAACACAGCCTGATTACTCACTGCTTCCCGTAACATGAGGAGGAATTTCTCATGTTAGCAAGTGGTAAGTTCAGAAGAAGCAAAGAAAATGTATTTTTTTTTTGCATTTTTTTCCTCTCCATGTGTGCCCATTTAACTTGTGGACCTCTGTCACTGTGTGTTGCTGAAGCTAAAAGTTTGGGGTTAATGTGGGACTAGGCTAACGAGGGGCTGGGAACACCGGTATCGATCCATCTAGGGAAGGAAAGCCACGCTTCTGTCCGCCTCAGGAAACTTGTGGTGTGGATCTTCTTGTGGCTGGGAGAATGCTCTCTTGCCATATCAACATAGATGCTATGGTTTTATGCTTGGACGTTCATATTTGCCAGTGTTCTTTTGATTTCCTTGTCCATTGAGGAGCAGGTGGCTCTCCAATGAGCACAGTGCCCTGCCACTGCTCGTGAATCTTTGGTTTGTGCCCATGTGGCTGTCCTTCCCACGTCAGCTTTGATGTTACCCACTGAAACGTGGTGAGTGCTGTGGCTGCAAGATGGTAACGCTGCTCAGGGCGAGGTACCACAGCCTCCAAGGGTTGCCTGTAGTGGTAGGACTGGCTGCTTCTTGGCATCTAAGTTTAGTGTTTGGAAAATAAATCTTGCTATAGAAAAGAGGAGAAATGCTGCTTTGAGCTGTTTGTCCTACTGGAAAAACTAAAGGAACCCCTGTAAACACCGCATCTGTCTGCAATTGTTACTGATGTATTAGGCAGGAAAACGGGGGTGGTGAGTGCTTTTATTGTTGCTTTTAAGATAATTTTCATGGGTATGCAGAAACTAACCTTGTATGTTGATGCTGACTCTTTGTTTTCCTGCAATCCAGTATCTCTGTGAGATGGCTCGGTCTGAGCATTTGTGTTGACAGCTTTGGCTGGAGTGCAGTGGGGCTGTGCTGTGACCTTTCGTGTTGTGCTGGTGACTTCTTGTTACTGGAGGCTGAGCAGTTTTGCCACTCCCAGAGAGTTCAGTCTGTAAGTCATCATTCACAGCTTGTCCCCGGAGTGGTACCTGTGAATTGGATATTTTTAGGGTCATTGGTAGTCTTTTTAGTTAACCAGAATAATATTTGTGTGCTGCTTTTATTTCTTTCGCAGACTTTTCGGTGATGTTGTTGTCCTGGTCTTGATTAACTAGCATTTAAATCAGGCCACTTCTTAAAAATTGAGTTTAAATAGCATCTCTCTTCCTGTTCAGATAGCAAGTTTCATTTGAAGATGATAATCCCTTAACGTTTTTACTTTTTGTTTCATCCGGAGTCAGGCACAATGAGCCTGCCTGATAACAGGATGTCGCCTTGCTTGGAATAAGGCTCTTCTCCCAAGGTATCCAACTCCCCTGCAGGATGTTCAGCTGTTACAGTATTATTGGGGAGTAGATACTGTTCCCTTTGTCAGGTTTTTGACATTTTTCCTTCCAGGAAGATACTCAAGCTTCTTCATCCTGCAACTTGTACTCCTGTGTAGCGAAGAAAAATTAACATGCTTCTCAGTTTGGCTTCTCTCTGGGTGTCTGAGGTTCTGTGTCCAAGAACTGTTTGTCGCATCCTTTCTTCCTGAGGGCAGCAGATCTTGGTTGGCTAACCTGGGAGAAGATCCCCAGAACAACAGTCTTGGAGGTTCCTGTTTTGGAGAATGATCTCCATAGCTTTGTCATATAAATAGGTGACAATTTGTTCTTTGAAGCTCATAAACATTTGCACTTGATAGATAAGCCACTTTGAAGTTGTTGCTGTATGGTCGAGGTCTCGAACCCTTTTTGAGGAGAAGCCACAAAAGTGTATTGGCACATAGGAAACTTTTCTATTAGTAATTAGCTATTAAATACTCTGGTAGAATAAGAAGTTGTTACTGTTGGAAGTAAACTTGTGTATTTTAAGAATTCTGAAAAAACTTTCTGACCCAATAATATGTAGATAGATGTCATATGAAATAACTGAGACGTATTGGAGGAGGTGATGAAAATTTTAAATCCTGGACAAAATACACAGAAGGCTGGAGCACACCTTGTGAGGAGAGGGCTGGGGATGGATGTTCAGCCTGGAGAAGAGAAGGCTCCAGGGAGAGAAACCTCATTGCAGCCTTCCAGTACTTAAAAGGGAGCTTATAAAAAAGATGGAGAGCAACTTTTTACTCAGGCACATAGTGATAGGACAGGGAGGAATGGTTTTAAATCCAAAGAGGGTGGATTTTAATTAGATGTTAGGAGGAAATTCTTTACTGTGAGGGTGCCCAGAGCAGCTGTGGCTGCCCCATCCCTGGAGGTGCTCAAGGCCAGGCTGGATGGGGCTTTGGGCAACCTGGGCTGGTGGGAGGTGTCCCTGCAATGGCAGGGGGTTGGAGCTGGGTGCTTTATAAGGTCCCTTCCAACTCAAACCATTGTATGAAATTTTAAATAATAAAAAAGATGTGGTGGTGGTGAATTCAGAACCAGAGGAGTTATTGAAGTAGTTGATGAATAACCTTATTGACCGAAGTTAATCAAGGTTAAGTGGTAAATAGTTCTGGGTTCATTATCAGTTGTTAATTGCATGTGCAGGTGATAAATTGCTATGGTTGCATTTTGCATACTTACCTCTTAAGGCATTGGGCATCCAACCTAATGTTAACATTTTACGTGACATGTATCTATCTCACTGGTTAATTGCACAAACTTCAGAAATCCTACTATATGAGTTATAATAATCAATTACAGGGACTAACTCAATTTTGTCAGATCATTTTGGCGGAAAGTGATTTTTTTGCCTCTCTTTAACAAACACAAATGGCGATCAAACATTGACATACCTCATCTGGATTGCTTCATAAAGTCAATGTTTTAATTTATTTAAATATGAAGCTGCACACAGGACAGACTTTACACTGAGAGTGGGGAAGTTGTGATCTTACATCACCATTGCTTCACTTACGTGCTGTCCTGTACTGGGGTACGTGGAACTGCAGCAGGTAGTTTTCAATTTGCATATTTACAGCTGGGCATATGCTGTGTTTGTTCCTGAAACAAACACTGCTGAAATACCTTCGTCAGATACACAGAAATCTGCATGTTGTTTGGGCTTCTGTGGCCTCTCCCCACCTAAAACCATACAGTCAAGATTTCAGGTCTGCTCAGTGAGGCTTACTTTGGGAAAAGCCCATGGCTCCCCTGTCTGGGTAAGTAACGATCAGACTGGGAGGCTGGCAGTCAGCTACAGCCTTGGCTGGGTTTCTCTAATCCCGTTTTAGGCTATTCAGATTAAAAGTTCAGTGTGCTGGAAATGTTCTGCTGAGTTAATGAATGAAGTTCATAGGAGCTTTGTGAAGTCGGTAGCTCGATAGCCTGGTAGGCAATGGCTGAGAATTTGCACGTATAGAATGAAGTCGTGTAGGGCTTGGTTTTACACAAGTGCTTGAGCATCCTCTGCTTGGATCGTGTTTATTGATCTGCTATCCAAATCAAATATTCATGGCTGCAAATCAGCATGGAGCAGTGTGTCCCTTCAAAAGCTACATGGTTTTGGTGTCCTTTCACCATCAGCCTGATGGCATTTGCAGCCTAGACCCTCAAGTCTGTGTCAGGTTTCCCAGGACGTTTCCTTTTTCTCTTTTGTGTTTGAGCTTGGTGAACCGAGGTCAGTAGGAACTTTGTTTCCTGTTTGAACAGGACGCAGAGCTGCTCACTTCTGCATCGACTCAGACTGGGGGTGGCAGATTTTGCAGCTCAGCAAGGCGAGGTGATGTGTTTTAATGGGGATTGCTTCCTACCCTGGTAATTTTTCAGTCACTAGGAGATCATTCTCAAGTATAAGCATAGGACAAATAACTTGGCTAGCTTCAGCTTCTCTTGCTTGAAAATTTTCTTCTTGTAGCTAAGAGGAATATAATAGACCAGCTTCTGTTTTCAGGAGCTGTGGAAACTCATATTTAGGATGGAATGGTCATTTAGGCACGTTGCATTCTTCACCAATGCTCTGTGCATCATCTCCTGCTCCCATCAAAACGGAAAATGCTGCTGAGTTGTACAGCTTTGTGTTATGTAGGTTATTATTGCTTTTTTTTTTTTAGTTATACTCTTTTTGAACTAGACACCTTAAGAATGTAAACTCGGATTATGATTTCAATGCAGTTGAGACACTAAAGCAAGAATTTAGCAAACGGCAAACACATTTTTTATGTTTGCATGCCAATAGCTGTGAAATACGTAGATAAATGAGGTTCTGGTTTAACTTAAATGCTACCACAATGTGATATAAAATGCAGAGTTTAAGTCAAATGTTAATAGCTGTCTAATTGTCATTTTTCATGTTATGGACTTGTTTTTATCTAAAGAATTGTAATAAACTTACAATGATTGTATATTTTTTTTACTGTTTTCAGACTATAGAATGAATTAATTTTTTCTCTTTGTTTTGATAGTCAAGAATCCCTTCAGTGAAGAACTACGAGATATAAAAGTAAGTAAAAAATAAAAATTGAGATTTTAGTCTTGAGTGATTGTATAAAAACATACTAGATCTGTTCAGAAGGGTGCGGGTTCCAGAATGTTTTGTATAAGGTGTTTCTTGCTACTTTAATGTTTTAATTCTTTGCTTTTTCATTTTGGGCAAAATAACCAGTATTATAATATTTGGTTGATTGCTTTATATACTGATGATGTCACATAACTTTTCTTGTAGAGCTATGACGAAAAAATGTGTTGTAGTAAGATTTTTGAGGCTAAATTTAATCAATTTTCCCTTACTATTTCTATTTGGCTTCTCAGCCACGGAAACACAAGCTGGTAAGAGATAATTGTCTTGAAACTCCAGGATCTTATTTAGTGCCATGGAAGAGCGAGAGCTAGGTCATCTACAGAAAATGGATTAGAAAATTTGTCTTTTTCACTTGGAGTCAGTTCTATTATTTGTTCCTATATTCACTCTTTGAACTGGAATATGAGAATAGCCTGTTTTGAGATGTCACCACTGAAGGTATCCGGGTTATTGAGTTCTGAAGCATGGATTTTGGTGCTTCTCTCTTCTGGCCTTTCTGCCTGGGCTGTAAACAGTGGTCTTCTCCTAAGCATGTCTATGCAAACATCACGAGATAATTGTATATGTGTTTTTTTTTTTGTCTAAGGTTGAGCTCTCCGAAAGTAAATTGTTGCATATTTTCAGATTTCACTGAAATCTTTCTTAGAAGAAAGAATCTTTCTGAACCTTCTGAACAAATGAAATTTTGAGGGGTAAATTCTGTGGTACCCCCAGGCAAACAAACTGACCTTAGAGCGCTGCTGTTTGGGTACGCGTGTGGTAGAGGACTGACTTCCCTCTTCTGCCATGCCTGACGTTTTCCAGGCAGGGGATGGGTTAACAAGGTTGGTTAACTTCCTGGGGAGTACCATTGTAATACCAATTTAATCTCAGTGATGGATTTGTAGGACCAGAATATGGGAGGCAATGCTGGCAATTTTTGGTATTGGCTATGGGAAATAATTTGTCAAATGTCTGATCAAAGAAATGAAGCTTTCTTCCTTTTGGTAGCAGTTTTCTTGCGGAAAATAATGGGACCATTCATATTTTAAAATGTTGTCATGTAGCGCTAGTGCAACAGGGAGTTATACTAAAAATATGTATTTTTTTCAATGTGAGTAAAATCAGATATAAAAACTGTCAAAACTGGAAAATGAGATGTAAAAACTTTAGCGTATCTTTGAACAAAGTCTTTATTCATATCTCATCCATTTGAGTCTGCCCCAGGAAGAACTTAAACAAACAAACAAAAATCCGCAGCCTTTTAGAAATTTATTACTAAGTGCATATAAGTGCTTCTTACCTTCATGTTTTGAATAATTCATTATAATGCAAAAGGTTTCTGTCTGTATTTCAATGAAACTGCTCAATGTCTTAGTAAAGAAGTTTAACTCTTGTAAGTAACAGTTGGGACATCTCATTTTCATCCTTGTTCTGGGAAACAGGCCTTTTTATACTAGCAGTATGTGCAGGAAGCATTAACAAGATTGTGTAGACCACTTTTTTGTAGATGGCAAAAAATCTAACATTTCTATGAATCTCACGTGGGGAATATGGCCATAACACACACCAGTGTGGCTTGCATGAAGTGTCACTTCATGTTTTTAAGAGTAAAACTTAAAAATGTACATAGTAGCTTTTAGAAAAGCTACTTATTTTTATTTTTACATAGTAGCTTTCAAAAAAAACAAAAATAGTAAATAACCTTCTGAGCTGTCAGTTTCAACTTGGAGATCCAATGGAGTCCAGGCTGCAGTCTAGTTCAACTTGTCAGGATCTGAAATACTTGTATTGTAAACAAATACTTTGATTCAGAGTCTATTTTTTACATCATTGTTGATGTGTAAAACATTATAGCCTTCCACTTGTGTGTGTATATATATTTTTACAAAAAAAAATCTGATGGTTTATAAACTCTGAACTAGAAGAAAATGCATCTTTAGTAATGCTTATTTTAATGTTAATGTGTTTTTCTAATTCTAGGCAGATGAAATAAGTCTCATGATGAACAGCTTATATGCACTTCATGATAAGTTGGCACAAGTAGCAGGTAACAAAAATTATTGTGACTAAGTGTTATTGTAACAGGTACAAAGAAGTCCATGCTCAGATAGTGATTTGTAACAATTGATATATTCTGAGGCCCTGATAACTTTTAAGATTTCCATTTGAGGAAACCAGAAATCTTATTTCACTTACAGTGCCCTTTTTCATCACTGTAGCATCTTTCATTGCAGCATTTTTGGGTTAATGGTATAGGCTGCATGTTTTGATCCCGAGGTTTTTGATTTGCCTTAATGCTTTATTAAACTGATGTTAGTAAAAGATTTAAATTTGCTGTATGTTATGAGGAATATGTATGTCTTTTAAAGGTAGCTATTTCATTCTAGTGGAAAAATGCTTGAAATAATATTTTACAACAATAAAAAAGATGAATACAATGAACAGTAGCGGTTAAACAAGGTTGCCTTGTTAGACAGATTAGTGCAACTTAACCAAACTAATTATATACTAACGCAAAGTTCTCTGTATAGTAATGTGTTAGAGATGGTGTTTAGGCTTAATATTAATTGCTGACTATTCCAAGCTATTGTGCTTTTGCCTAGTGTCATAATTAACATGGCTTTAAATTGCACAGAAATTTACACAGCACAGTAGAGAAATGGTGAAGTTAAGACTGGATTTATAGCTTTGACATCTGGTGAATATGGGGTTACAGCAGGATCTGTTTCATGCTTATTAGGCCATTTATGTCTCATCCTTGCTTATTTAATTCATATAGTGTTTACAAGGCAGTGGTTCAGTGTGGTTTTAAGTCTTACTGTTCTTTGTGCCACTTATTTGTTTTGCAACAGCAAGTGTCATTGAGAAGCCTTTTCCATGTATCCACTATTGTCAGGTGCTACAGACATTTCTCAAAGGGTGAAAGTGTGGAATCAGCGGTCCCAGATACAAGGCTGATGACTTGATATGCCCAGGACTTTATAGTAAATCTGTAACTTTGAGCAGCTCTGTAATACTTTTAAATTGCATGAGTAATCTTCCTGCAGAAGTATTTGTTTCTAGAGTATTTACAATATCTGTGGTGAATAAAACAGATATTTAGACAAACTCCATGGATTTCTCCTTGTTTACATTTTGCTTTAACCCAAAGTAGTGTTAGAATGTTATTCCTGGATGTGTGCAAAACGTTTTTCTTTAGTTTTAAATTTGTTGCTTTCTGACTGTGTGTGCCTTGCAGTGCTGATCTTTTGCTGTTCACTTATGTCTTGGTATCTTCTTGTTTCAAACCATTTCATACTTAATGGATGGTGGTAGTTAATTCTGTGCTATAAGTCATTGGGGCCAAAAGATTTTTTGTTAGCTAATCTGTGCTGCTAATCCTTTATCATAGCTAATTCGTGGTGTGCAGATTTGCCTGAGACCCACAGCTGTGTGCTGTAAAGCACCGAGTTGTGTGAAGCGGAAGTACTGAGTTATGCTACTTCGTTCCCCTCTTGGAGAGAGAATATAACAGCTTTCAGTTTCCTCAGTGTTATCTGGCCCTCCAGTGGCTGTACAGTAAATGATGTATTTGCCTGGATAAAAAGGTTTGGCACTCATTTCTTACGTCTGTGAAGGACAGTGAATTTTCTTCATTAGCTGGAATTTATCTATGGGGCTGTACATCTATTTAAATAGGTATATATTTAAATATATACATAAACACACCTGTCTGTCTTACAAAAAAAGTTTATATGCTTCAGGATGACAGACAACTTTCTTCCCCTAACATAAAAGATGTGTTAGTCCCTTTTAGTCTACTTCTGGCCAGGAGAATCTTTAACACTTACCTTCAAAAAATATAATCATGCCTTGTGACAGGATGATCCCCCAGATTGAAACCACATTGTAAGATTACCTTGTCGCTCAGCAGAGTAGCTTTCACACAGTCTGAAGAATGACTTAACTTCTGTCTGAGTGTCAATAAATTATCCTCCGTGCCAGGTATCATGAAGGTATCAGAGAAAGGAGCCTGCCATCCATCTTTCAGTCCTGCATTGATGTAGACCTGGCACAATGGGTGGAAGCTGCTTAAAAGTCATAAAACACAGAAGGCTGCCAGAAAGATGCAGGGTTTAAGAGTGTTGATCTTGTACATAGTGCAGCACTTCAGAATAGAGGAGTAGGGGAATGCAGTTTTACTAAAGTGCTTCTCTTCAGTCTCCCTGTCACATATTTGGAAAAGTTTCCCTCATTTTGTACTTGGCTATGAGTCACTTGTTCATGTTTTAACTATTAGTATTAAAAAAGAGGGATGGAAACTTGCACTAGTGTCTTCTGTTAGGCTTTATTCAATGTCCTGGATTACCTTGAAGAAGGCCAGTTCAGAATTTGGTTTGTAGCCCTGTTTGTTTAATTAGGCTTCTTACATTTTTATTGAGCTAGTTTCTTGCTTTGTCAACTTCAGTTGAAGATCAAATGATGGGGCTTTTCATATAGGAGATGAAGCACAAAAGTTGTTTGAAGGAAGGAAAAGTCAGGGTAACAATTATTTTTTATGTAACTTAATATACTACGTTCCAACTGTAGCTGCCATTTTTGTACTGTGGTGCTCTGATATTATGTAAAACGATTTAATTATCCTGTGTAAAAATAGATTGCCCTTAATGCATCGCTGTTTTCAGACTTATTAGTCTGCCAAGCCTATGGTGAGTAATGCCTACCTCAAAAGAAACTGCAGGGAGAAGCAGAATCTACTCACTCAGTTTTGGGTTGAGGTTTATGTTCTTGTCCAACGGTTCTCTTTCTTAAAAGCAACTTCTTGTTGATACTGTATAGTTCTGTACCTAACACTTTGACCTAAAACAAAATCCGTGCTTTATTTAAATCAGACTTCCTTTAGGCATAGATTAATTACTGGATGTTTTTGTCTTTCATGGAGAGACTTCAATAAATCACATCCACTTTCAGTCAGGCTCACAAAATGAACAATGCTAATCCCCATGCCCACAAGCAGCAGCTACCTACAGATATGACCCTGTTTTTTTGTACATAAAGAATTTTTACCTAGTAAGATGCCGCTTCTGCTTGGCATTCTGCACAGAGTGCTTTGGCAGATTCAGATGGCTTTCTTCTGTGCTAAAGGACAGCACAGGTCCTTGAGATGCAGGGTGAACTAGACTTCAGTAGGTAATAAGGCTTACTGATAAACCTGTGGCTGGAGGGAAATCCTGAAAAAACACCAACTGTTTCTTAACACCAATTTCAAGTGTTAGCCACTGTACCTGTTTGCTGTCTCAGGCTTTGTTCTGTTACTCTCCTTAAGCTTTAGTTCTTCAGGTTATTGGTATTGTGCTGCTTATTGAGTGATTTCAAGACCATTTAGCAAGTTCTGATTCTCCTCAGTGGTGGACTGTTGAACCTGCCTTTGGGAGATCAGGTGTTCGTATTTGCTCTCACAACATTTATTCTTCTTATTTTTTTTGGCTACCCACTTGAGTGGCCTGCTGCTTAACCTCTAAGCAGGAGATCTGCTACACGACTGTTTTCGAAGCTGTTTGCTTTTGTACTGGTTGACTGTGTTGCAGCAAGATACCCGCTAGAGATCTGTGTTAAGTCCATGGGTTCCTTAAAGTCTTACTTGCTTCTTGTTAATATTTCTGGGAGAAGAACCTAGCTTCTTAAATGGCTTGCACAAGTGCATTAACATAAGCTAAAAGGTAATTCTGTGATCACTGCTGGGATGTGTGCTACCTGCATCACCTCTGTACAAATGCAGCTGGAACCGTTCTCTGATGGCACTTGAAACTGATGTGGCATGTCCAAGAAAAGGCTGAGCAGGAAGGTCCATGCTCCCCAAGCTTGCAGTAAGCATTTTAGCAGAATGGCAACAGAGGAGCTCATTTAAAAAAGTGCTCAAATATGTCTTGCAGGAGACCTGTGTGAAGATTTTTGCCCTGCTTCGATTTTATTCCTGGATATAGGGCCTCAAACGGCTCATTTTTGACATTTTTGGCTCAGGCCATGGAAAGTGGGTTTCCAAGCCAAGTGGTTAATGATTGCACCAAAGTAATTCAAAATAAGCCTTCACTTACAGAACTACTAGCTAAAGGAGCGACAGAAATGGCATAGAGGAATATCCAGCTGTTTGCAGAAAAGGTTGTCTGACTTGTGACCTGCCTAACTTTCTGCAGGCTTTCAAATTCATGAGTTTCTCAGAAGAAAGCTTTAAATGGTTCCCAGCAATAGGTGAGTTAGAATGAGAACTGCATCTCCAGCAGCTTTTTGTACAGGACTCAATCTACATGACTCTGAGTTGCTTTCTGGTATCAGGAGTGAGTTGAAAGTGACATTTTTATTTTTTTCCCTTGTGATTGTATGTGAGTAATTGGAACTGATGGGCCTTAAGCTTTGTCAGATCTCGAGCAGCAAAACCATTTTCTAAGGGGTAAATTTGCTCAGAGGGAGTATAGTCAGGAAAAAAAAATATTCAAAAGCAGTACTGTGAAGAAACTGTCTGCTGGCTTTTTAAAAATGAGACGAGAAGCTGTGAAGTCAGTGTGTTGGCTGCATGCTGCATAAATGTAATTCCTGGAAGGAGGCAAAGAAGATTAGAATTTAAAACTATTAAAGTAGTCTAGTCTGCATCTAAGGGAGCTTTTGTCCACTTGTAAGGTGTAGTGCTGCATTCTCAGAAGAGTGAAAATCTAAGATGAACACTGCAGCTTGTTTTAAAAATGCCTTTTTCACAGTCTTGTCTTCTGATTGCTTTTTTTCTTTCTGTGTATTAATGTCATCCTTTTGGCTGTTTTTTGTTTTGATTCATACTTGGGATTTTTACTAAGATTCTTTACTAAGATTCCTACTAAGCAACCCCTGAAAACTCCAAACTCCTTAGCAGAAGAGTTTCTTCCTCCTGCTCACCCAAGCTGTTATGTTAAGTCAAAATACGACTGATGTGCTTCAAGACTTCAGGCCTTACCAAACACAAAGTGTAAAAGAACAAGTACTTATCAGACATGTCAATGTCATACAACCTAATACCTGGGTGTGATCACATGTAAGGCTTCTACAGAGATCTGTTTTGGTTTTGTTGCATTCATTCCATCTGTTCTAGATCTAAAACTATGCTTATACCAGAGATTGTAGGAATATGATATGGTTCTCCCAAATGTGTTGATCTCGAAACATGAAATGACAGCACATGTAAATGTACAGGTTGTAGCGTTAATGCAGCACAAAACCAAGTCATTCTGTGAATGTCTACCTAAATTCCTTAAGAGAATAACCTGTAACTCCAATTCCTGTGCTGACTTCTAAATTTAGTGTTTTTTCAAAGGTGCTGTCAGTATTCACCAGTGACCTCTGCAGTTTTCCTGTCACAGTAGACCTGAGGAGCTTTGACTAAGTCTCAGATGTCGTGTGCTAATTATCGAGTGAAACAACTTTTAAAATAGTGTCTCTTCTGCTCAGTATTTGATGGAAAATGCACGCAAACAGGAAGGCTTAGTTCTAGGCCAGAGAAATATGAGCACTCCTATAAACTGTAACCCAGCAGTAGAAGCCCATCCCTACTATGGTGATGCGCTTGCAAAGCAAAATTCAGTTGTCTGTTGAAGTGTATTAAACAGAACATCACTTTAGCAGTCTGCAAAAAACTTTTGCTTCATAAAAACATGTATTTTTGTGGAACTCTACTGTGAATGAGACGTGAAGATGCTTTCCCATAACTTGCTAGTGTTTGCTGATTTTGTCAGGTTGCCTTGGATGTGTTGGTAGTAAATATCTGCAGTTGCTCCATTTAAAGGGTAATCCTGTCTGGAATAGTTTCAACTTTAAATACTTTTTTGAGAGTGTAAGCAAAAGTTCAAGGTACTCATGCATATACAAAATACAAACTTTCCTAGCATTGCTATAGCGCTGGGAACGATCATTTGGCATGGATTGAGGAAGGTGAGGTAGGCCTAACCCTGACTCAGTGACAGGCTAGTTTTCATTTTTAATGTTTTGGCACAGTAAAATTGCAGGGATGGCTACTAAGATTATTTTTCAGAGATCAAGAGAAAAAAAGGATTTGCCATTCTCTAACAGTTCTTCAGAGCTACCAGCCAAGTGTTAGATAAAACCGGAGTTAGACTTCGCCTTTTCTGTATGACTGATACCAGATTATTTTATTATTTTTTTTTGCGTAAATTGGATGCCTTCCGTTAAGTAGAAGTAAATCAGGAAGAAGATGGCATGTGGCTATGAAGATTGACTGTACCTTATTTCTTGACTGCCTCTGCAAACTTTCTGAAATACTTAGGGAGATGGCAAAACCAGCAGTTTGAGGGCATATTGGTATGTTGTGCATGTTCAGGAAGGTGATGAATTACTCTGGTGACTTGGAGCAAACTGAAATGTGGTAAATTCATAGTGCTGGAAATACTGCTGTGGATATGCTAGAACCATAAGTTGGTCTGTTTAATAGCTAATACATGTTTCAAAGTAAATAGAAATTATTTGGAAGAAGTTGAGGCAGGGTATGGCAGCAACTTTTTAATACTTTTGATTGCTCTTCATACGATCTTTTGTTCTAATTTCAGTGTAAATATTGAAGTATATTTTCTGATCACATGAATTTTTATTGATGTTATTTATATTTATTGTTAGCTGTGACAATCTTTTTTTCATTGGTGGGGTGCACTTCTGATTTTTTTCCATATATTTTTAAATAATTATTTGGCTATAGCTGCTTGTGTAGATTACGTTAACCTTTAGCTTCTGTTAGGTGATTTTATTCTATATAGTGAAGAAATAATGTGATCAAAATAAACAATTTTATTTTTACCAGGGGAACATGAATGTGGAAGCTCTATTCAAAGGAACCTTACCGTCCAGGAGGCAGCTGCATATTTAAAAGTAAGCAATTGCAGTATTTTTCATTGGTTATATCTAAAAGTTGTATAACTTAAAATTTTATCGTCTGGTTTGGTATTAGTGTGGTTTCAATTTAATGTAGTAACTGACATTCTATACTAATAAAACTAAGTGAAGTATTACTCAGATGTTTATAATTGACTTCTTCAATACATGCTACTTACCATTTTTATTTCATGAGATTTTGTGGAAAAAGAAAGGGAAAAGAAAAGTGGGGTTAATTGCAATGCAAGTGTAGGTAGCAGTGCTTCAGTGTCATGAAGGTTTTCTTCCCCTTTAGTTAAAACACCAGGGTATAATGTCATTTGATGGAGATTGTTGACCAACATAAAAAAAAAAAAAAGTATGAAACTAAAATCTCTAGAAGCTTTTCCAGAAATCAGTATGCAATGTTTGAGACATTTTTCAGCTCTTAGTCTCTTAGTTTTAGCTCTTATCTTGGAAAAGATACTGTCTTCCCTTCTTTGGGAGAAGAGGCTAAGAGGCTGAAGCGTGGCTCTGCAGTGAGCCTGACAGGCAGCAGCTGTGGGGGACATCACTTGATTCTGTAAATAGAAATGGTCCAGAAGGGCCTTTATGGTAACTTGGTAGGCTTGCAATATTAGGATCTCTCTCTGCCCTGTCATTTGCCCTGCCTCCCTCCCTAAATAAAAAATGATTTCTTGTATTTTCTTAGCAGCTGTAGTGTTTATTTTAGCCCACATGGTCTTCCCTTCAGTAGGAAGCTACTTTCACGTTTTAAAATGGTGTAAGATCTTGTATGGCTTTTTTTAGGTGGAGGGAGTTAAGCCCATGTGACTTTTAATATACAAATGTACAAAAATACTGCATTTTGGCAAACGTTTACATAGTAAACAAAAAGGAGGCGATGTTAGGAGCTTGCTGAAGAAGCTGCTAAAAACTGTTTTATCTCAGATTGCAGTTCTGGATTGGCAATGATGTTCGGTATCTGTTAAAAACAGTGCATTGTGAGAATACTTGGAAAAAAATAGGTTGATGCCAGGTAACATAATAGGCAAGACCATTGGTTAAAAGAATGCCAGTTATCAAAACTGAAAAAAAAGATTATAAATCCAAGTTTCAAAGTTTTTTTTTTTTTTTTGAAAATTTGTCACTTCATGTAAAACCATGTTTAACCCTGCAGTTCCTAATTTTTGGAGTATAAATGTGTGTGTGTTTTTTTGTTTTTGGTGGAATTTGAGTGTTAGATGATAGAACTTTTTCCTCAAAGCGAAAATAAGTTATCTGCTCCTATTTTTTTTCTGAAGTACTTGCCATAGAGCCTCATTAAAAATTAAGGAGAGAAAACTTTTTTGGACAGTTTCAGTTCAAATACAGTATTTTATTTTTTTTGCCTTTTCTACAAAAGGATGTAAGGTGAACTCTGGAGGCGCTGCTCAGGCTGCAGTGAATGCTCTCCTGTGATTACTGATAGCAGATAACTTAAATTTGTAAATTCCTGTGTAGTGATATCAGTTCTTGAACTACAAACATAACTGGTATTTTCAAATAATCTTAAGAAGCTTGAGGAAAATCATTTAAAAATTTACCTCAGCTGATTTTTAGGAGCTATTTTCAGCTAAGTTTATATCTAGTTTGAGTTTTATTCCTGAAAGAGACTTTCAATGAGCACCGCCTAGTGGCCGATTTTTTTTTTCCTTTGTAGGTTAGTTTTCTCTGTAGGTTAGAATTCTTGAAGTGTGATCATGACTAGAGTTTTCATATAGTCCTTAATTTGAAGAATATTAGTAAGTCCCATAGCTGCTCCTAGCATGGGTGGATTTGCTTTGCGTATTGAACAGTTATGCAAAAAGTGAAGTTTTAAGATCAAAGTCACACAGGTTTGACTACTAACATGTGCAGTATCTGTATTTTATTGTGGCATGGTAACTTTCTGCTTATTTAGAGAATTATTCACTAATGTTTGTCTTTTGACAGAATTTAGATCCAGAATACGAAAGTGTACTTAACACAGCACTACAATGGATCTTGAATAGTGGGGAAGATGTTGGCATAAAGTAAGTGGTCTTTATTGTATAACAGTGTGTTCTGATAGACCGTATCCTTTTTTTGTAAATGCCATATATTTTTAACAGGTGTATTGGCAGTGACCCTAATGAGATGGATGTTGTCAATGTGACAGATGTAAAGTACCTGGAATCCACTAGTCCAAAGATGTCTTTCAGGTGTCGTTTTCGCCGTGCATTTATTAATGTAACTCACAGATTATCAATATTGCTTTTGGGTAAGTTATTTAAACAATCACTTTTTTGTTATAACTTGTGTAAGTTCATGGTGGAAAAAGCAGTGTGTTCACTGGAAGTTCTTATTCAGCCATACAACTTATAGCGAGGATAGTGACAGAAGCTCTAACATGGTCTGTTTTGCACTTTTTTGCCACTGTATTTTCATATTACTTGCTATCATCTGTTGTTGTAGTCAGCTGAACCAATTCCTTCTCTAGGAACTCTGGCCTTTTCCTGCCAAAGCACTACCTTTTGAGTTTTAAAAAATTCCAAATCCAGTGGTTCTTTTTTTGGGGAAAAAGATGTGGTGGCCTTCATTTTTTGAGGATGTTTCACTGTTGTTCTGGGAACTTTAGGAAAAATCATCTTCTCTGTAGTTAAAGTTCCAGGAGAAGTTGAATTACTTGTTTGTCTCCAAAAATTCTTAACCTTTTCTGCAACAGATGTACAGGTATTTATCCTTCGGTAAGACTTACTCATTTAATCTGTGATAGTTCTCTAATTAAGTTTCAAATAATTTCATTATGGTCAAGAATTAAGTAAACTTGAAAGTGATGCAGAATAATGATGTGGTCCAGCTGAGTGCAAGCACAGTCATTTCTAACTGGCCACACAGAAATATTGAAGATGCAGAATCGATCTCATGCACATGTTGAATATTCATTCGTTATATATTAATATATATTATAAATGATCATTATACGTGATCATTTATTCCAGTATTTTAACAACTTCATAGTTAAAAATAGAAGACCGCCTTCATTAGCCTTCTGACAAACCAAAATAATTGAAGGCAAGTTGACCCAGATGGCTGTCTTCTTGATAATATTGGGTATGAGCTATACTGGAATATGGAGACAAAACTTAGTATCTGAGTCAGCCACCAGTCTCATCAGTCATGCTGAGCAAATTGCTTAGTGTTCCAACTTTCTCATCTGTATTTGAGATTAATATGCAGTACCTTTCCAGAAATGAAGCATTGTGTAAAAACTGGATCTATTTTCATTAATTAATAGCCATTTTGGCCTAAAGTGATGTCCCTCAGTCTCTATCTATCAGTTAACACTGCTGTGTGATCATTCACACTATTTTTTTTGTTTGAAACCGTGGGTGAATGGTGCCCTTAGTTTGAGATGAAAGAAATAAGATTTTTATTCTCAGCTTATGCTGTTGGCCTTCTTAACTATATTCCCCCAAAAAGGACAGTCATCTTTAAGCTAATAGAAAAGAAACATTTATCATGGTAAGAAATACAAATTTGTAGCTGAACTGAAGCAGTCCAAACTAATTAGTTTTGACCTGTATAAATAAAGCACGTGACTTGTCCTTAAATTAGTGAATATTATGCATTTTTAAATCTTAACATATTCTAAATTATGAATTTATACAACTTTTAATATGATTTTGAATTTTTCCAAGGTAATAGTTTTAATGCTTTTCATCACAAATGAGTAAAATTTCAAACCCCAATAATGCCAATTAACAATGCTATTGTTAAAATAATTAAACATTTTCATAAAGGTAGCTACTCTTCGAAGGTTGAGTTGGTGTTGCTATGCTAGTAAAATAGAAAAATACTGACAGCAAGTACAGTATGCATCACTAGCTTTAAATTTTGAATTTAAAATGCTAGCTAGTTCAACCAAGTTCTGAAGTATGTGGTGTAAAATTTGTTAAACAACTGATGTTCTAATTCTGTTTAAAGAGTGTTTTATATCTTAATGCAGGAGTAGCAATGGTTTGGGGAGTCTTGCACTACATGAAATATCGTTGGGCAAAAGAAGAAGAGGAAACAAGGCAGATGTATGATATGGTGGTAAAAATCATAGGTATGGCTTCTTTATTCTTATATGTGATGTATCAGCACTGTATAAGCTTTCAAAGTACTTGACTTCATCCAATCAATGGGGTTTTCTGCCTGTTCAGTTATCATGCTGTGACAGCTCTTGGAAAAATGCCTGCTTTGTGGTTTTTTATACATTGTACATTAAACCTAATCAAAGTTTTTCTTATGGAGATTTAAATCTAAGTAATAGCTGTAATAAATCCACATTGGCATGGCAGTATTTTATCTGTATTGAAAAAACTACGAATGTGATGTTTGTTGACTAGACATGTGGAAACGATGCAAGACAAAACAGATACAGGAAGCAATCTGTATGCAAAACACCAACACCTAAAATGTTGCTAAAACAGAATGCGTGGTTGAATTCTGATATTCTGCCTTTCCACTTCAAACAGTGGTTTTAGTAGTTTGTGTTCATAGCTTTTAGTGCTGTTTTGGGGGATGCAGTTTTACTTAAATTGTCATACTACTTTCAGCTATGACAGTCATAAATACAGAGGTAGTAGAGCTGTTTTCTTACTTTAACGTTTTCATACTTCTTTTGTCAGTCAAGTTTTGTTGGGGTAGGGGGAAAGCACTTGATTTCCAAAGGTGGCTGTCTTTGTTAGCAATTAAATGTAGCAATTGAATAACTGTAAAAACTCTTTTCCTGTGTTTCAAAGTTCTCTGGGGTACTTGGAGGCATTGGATGTATGGTTAGTTTTCTTGATTTGCCTTCAGTGTGGTTAGGAGCAAAAACACTTCAAAACTATAAATTACTGAAATTTGGAAGGGGGCTTTGGAGTAGCTGTTCATAGTCAGAATTGATATTTTTCTCTGTATAAACTGTGTAATTATGTTTTTCTTACGGTGTTCTCAGATGTTCTAAGAAGTCACAGTGAGGCATGTTCTGAAAATAAAGACTTGCAGCCTTATATGCCTATTTTACACGTGCGTGATTCTCTAATACCATCTCAGGAAAGGTACGTACCCGCTATACATACTGAATTTCAGTGCGTGGAATAAAGCATACAGCTTAGTAAAACCAAATCGGTCAATTAATTTAATGTTAGTAGGTTACAAAGTGTAATGTCCTTGTATACACCTGGGGAAAAAACACTGGTTTTCTATAAAGTTATGCATGTCAGTTGTGCAGGTTGTTATAATGCTAACGTTGTAATTCTTCATTTTTTTAAGGAGGAAAATGAAGAAAGTCTGGAATAGAGCAGTTGACTTTCTTGCAGCAAATGAATCTAGAATTCACACGGAGACACAAAGAATAGGTGATGCTGAGTTCCTGGTATGGAAATGGATGCAACCTTCTGTACCATGTGACAAAATTTTAGTAATACCATCGAAAGTGTGGCAAGGCCAAGGTATTGCAAATATAATTGTTTTAATTTCTCCTTCTAATCTCTAAGAGGTCACTTGAGAATGGAAGACATTTTCTGTCATAATTATGAACTGTGCCATTTTTCTGTCATCTTGTTCAGTAGATTTGTCACATGCATTCAGCGTCTGCCTTGCTTTCAAGCAAGATAAGCTTTTCTAGTGTAACTAAGGGTATACAGCCAAAATGAGTTCCTTGTTCCTTTCCATAAATTAAAAAACAAATGAAAACCCACTCAAGCCTTTTCCTTTAATTGGTTGAATTCTAACATCCTTTAGACTCATTGGAAATCATGTAATCATTTTTATCTGAATGCAGGTAGATCAGAGCTTTTAGATCAGAATTTCCTACCATTTAGTTATCAGTTGAGTACCTTAAGACAGAGTTGGATAAGTATACTGCTCTTCCTCCCCAGTAGATTCGCTTTCAAAATATAAGACTTCTCAATCAGCAGAATGTACATTTTGAGCATCTCCTAGCAGTGTTCTGGTTCTGCATATTCTGCATTCATATTTCAAGCTCTTTGGCACAACAAAGCACTAGCTTTATTAGGGGAGGCTGTCATGTGAATTTTGCGATGGTCTGTCACTTAAACTTTATCATGGAGCCAAGTGGCAAGAATCCAGTGGGCTGCATTTGCCTGCTGTGGTCATCTTTTCATAGTCCTTTTTTTCATGTTAAGCTTTAGTCGATGGAAAATATAAGCCAGAAGTCTTGAGTTCTGGGTTGCAACATAAAAGAATGATAATTTCTATCAAAATCTGAGTAGGGAAGGTCAACGTTTAAAGTTAAATCTTTACCAATTGTTTAAATCTTGAGAGTCTGAAAGAATTTGTCTTGCATATTATGTTCTTGAACTCTGCATTCTTTCATCAGTGTGGCTGTTGTAAGCTCTGTACAGAATCCTCGTTTATAAACTTGGTGGCTTATTTTGATGGCAAGGGAAGAAGGAGCTGCTGCTTGTACAATTTTTAGTTCAACTTATTTGCTAATTGGATGTTACCAAGGTTGAATCGTGCGTTACTTCTATGACATTGAACTAGATGTTGAAAGAAGCTTTGTTAAAAACAACAGACTTTTTGCCCTTTTTGGGCACTTAAGCAAAATTCCTACTGACAAGCAATTACACTATAGTTTTATGCTCTTCTGGAGCATGCTAATTTTGACCTTGGTTTAACTAATGCATATAGTAACCAGCTGAAGTCTCTTTGCTTTTATTGGTACACATCTTTATTTGTAAGAAACAATATTTTTATTGTTCCCTACAAAAGAGAGTATAGTCTAGAGTGACCTCTTCAAATGTAATTATTGCCTTTCCAGACAGAAAGAGCGTCTTTGTGGCCTGGAACAGTTATACTGAAGCAGACCTGATTGCCTGAATAGGACTGCTAACATTTCAGTTTTGTTCCAGGGCATTTGTACATGTCCATATGTTACGTGTATGCTTTCATCCCCTGGGTCTTAAGTTTTGCTTTTTGTATGTTCAAAGCAAAACCAAGCAATTCTTTCCCATCAAAACCAAATATTTTTGAGACATTTGCAAATACTTGAAGTGTTATTTGATGAGAGTCTGAGTTTCTTGCTTCTCTGCAAAACGTTACGTTGGGATATGATTAAATATCAAAGTTATGCCATTGTTTCTTAGCTTTATACTTCTCATTTTTAATCATTCGTTGGAAACGAGATTTTTTTTTTAACCTTGTAAATAATACTACAGGCTCAAGGTTTTGCAGTCACCGCCTTGAAACAATAATAGCATGGCATTGTGCTGTGACAACTATATCACTGATTTCAGTTCTTCAAAATTTTAGTAAGAAGTGAGTAGTAACTTTTTATGAGAGTTGCAGAGCTTTTTTTCCAGGACATTGTCTATCAGGGATACGTGAGTGTTTTACGTACAGTGCAGAAGTGGTGGATGTTTACAGCTGTCTCTGTTCCATCTCTACAATACTGTCACGATTAATTTTTAGACATTTAAAATGAATAGTGTCTGCAAGCTATGTATATTGCAGTGCTAAATCTTTCATGTTGTGTATTCGTCAATACAGGCTATGAAACATGATGCTCCAGTTCTGGAATTTCTCATTTACTACTCATTTGCACTCTCAACTTCTTCTTGTCATGTGTGATTGCGATATAAATCACTTCATAAAATTCTGTCCTGTATCAAAAATCAGTCTGGATTTTCCTTCATGTGGAAGACTTCTCAGTTGTGATAGCCCAGGTGCTGCGTGAAATATTCATTCAAGACTCCAACAGAATTGTAGCTTCCAAAACTTCTTAGAAAGCTACTATGGTAGCTACTGTTAGGTATCATATGAATTTGAGCATCGAATATCTACTGCCACATACTGTACATGTAGTAGACAAAATAGTTTTACCTGTCAGCTGCGGCTTTTAGCTAGAATGCGTATTTGATAGGTTCCTTCTATGCTTTTATTGCTGCATAGGATATGTTAAGTGCTATCCTGTTTCAATTCTTTCAACAGCTATTTTCCTAGTTCTTGTTACATTTGTAGTTCAGCCTTTGAAGAGCTGAAATTTTATACTTTGGCTATAACAGAAGAGCCTGAGAGTTGCTGAAGGAGCGAAGTTTTTTGGTTTCTGTGCATCTTAGTACCCAGTTAGCATCACAGTTTAAAAAAACAACAAAACTTGAGATCTGGTGTAGGTCTGTAGCAGAACACAATACTGACGAGTATGTGGAATTGAAGAAGAAAGCCTCTTGACCTGTCCATGTGTACTAGGTTATTGATGTATGATACCATGCATTTCAGTATGGGACCTGTAGCATGTGTGAGGATCTAGCCTCTGCTGTATCTGTGTTAGCATCCAGAGTTCAGTGTTGTGGCATTTTGTTCAGTCCTTCAGGTGCAGCCTGCACTTTTACAATTGGTAGCTTGTGTTTTGCTTTTTCCAGTCCATCTGGTGATGGTGATCTTACTGTGAGATACCATCTACTGGTACGGTTGGCATGTTTGTCAAAAGAAGAATGGGTAGGTAAACTCACTGTAAGATGGGCAAATATGAGCAGTATTCTGAAAACAACGTACAGGGTAATTGTTAATTCAAAAATCTTGTTCATGCTGAAGTATAATTTAATTAGAGCAGTGAAAGAAATATTTTTTTAGCGTTGAATTTGCTTTTGAAAGAAGCACGTCTTCAGTAACAGGAGCTCTAGGGAAAAAATACGTAGGGTGAGCTGCAAAGCAGCTAAACTAACAGTGATAGCTAAAGTTGCTTTACAGTTCAGGAGACGAGATAAAAAGGTTTTCTGAACCTTTGGATTCACCCTGGGTTACCACATCTAGGGTGATATTTCATCCTGCAGAATGCAAGATAATCTGTTACCTTGAGTGAATGATAGCCCTCCTCCACCACTCGTGAGAATACAGTCCTTTCTCTGTGTTGAAAAGGCTCTCTTTACTGCAAGATTGTGGAAAATATTTATGCTTGAGGGAGGATGCTGTACCCATCCCATGCTGGTTTTCTGTAGGTAAACTTAGCTGAATTAAACCTCATCAACCACATTGTCCTTTCTTAACATTTAGTAGTAATACTTCAGTATCTTTTCTTTCTACTGAAGAACCTTGTGTGTTTGAAAGTGCATAAGTTCAGTACATTCAATTAATCATTTTATCTTTTTTCTCTTGACTTTAATAAGAAGGGTTAGTATTTCATAAGTTAGTGATCTGGGACTTAACATGAATAAATCTGTTCCTCAGAAATGTATTTATCTGCATCTTGTGAAAGTCTTCAATCTTACCATGTGCATCAAATCCACGTCTAAAGATCTGTTGGGCTATTTTATAAGTCGTGGTAGAGATGACAGGGAATCTTTTTTGAATAATACACTAGTGAATCAAGATGTAGAGCAAGCTTTATCACGTTTTCTTAGGTGTTCATTTTGAAGTCTGTGCAATTGCCTCTTCTTCTATCATAGACATATTCCAGAATCGTTATAGACATCTCTTGAACTTCACTGCGTATCTGTTTACTACACTATTTTGAATTTTGCTACATAGGTACAGTACTTTGCCCATTTCTTTGTTTAGCTTCCCTTTTCAGTCTGATTTCCGGTATACATTTTAATGTATATTACTGTGATAGCAATTATTTTGTACTTCGCTGATTTCTGTAGTTATTTTTTCCGTTCAACATGGATGGAGCTTTTTATGTGTAAAAGCTTTTTTAGCTTATGATGACTTAGAAACATTTTTTAGAAAAAGCACAATTCCTCTTTATTTTCATATATTGCACTGTTCTGGGCACATTTGCACTAGTAAGAGGTTACACCAAATAGGTAGAAGATTAGTTTTGCACAAAAGCTGGTGTTCTGCTCTGACTGAAGTAATCTTTGCAAGCACCTGAAATCCTTGTGGGCTTTTGTTTTGAAGGTTACTAGAAATTGGAGCTGGTAGAGCTTGGTTTTGTTAGTGTTTACACTAAAATACAAATTTCTTTTTTGGTTACTCTTGCATCGCTTAGCTGACTTCTTAAATTACAGCATCTTTTTTGGAGGTCAAAAACAACCTTGCGGAAATGTTGGTCCTGTGCACCTAGGGTTTCTGCAAATAATCTCACCATTCTTGATCATTGGATTAAAAGGATGTGCTGAATAAACCTAGCTATTAACAATCAGCACATAATTTCCTCAACCCCGCACCTTTTCAGGTCCAGGTCCATGACTAGGCCACCCCAGATCACCTTCTCCAGTGTGGTGTGGTGCCCCAGTGTACAATATGCTGGTGACATTTCACCCTCCCTTGATCTGCTGGAGCCAACCTACCTGAGTAAGGTAAGTCCATCTATTTTTCAATGTTGCTTAGTTCTGTAAAGTTTTTATTGTATACCCTACATATAATTTTTAATCAAGGGCAAAAAACTTTACAAAACCATGTGCTATTGAAAAAAGGACTTGTCCTTAAGCTATAGGCAGCTCAGAGATAGATGCAGTGTCACCAGCATATTTAGAAAAACATTCCCAAGAAAAACTGGACAATTGTAGGTGTTGGTGACTTGGATAATGTGTGTATATCTTCTTACTAGAGCATTTCTAGTTATTTGTGGAGGTTAAGGTTAGATTCAGAGCCCACATTTTCTAACTTCTAGTTGATTACTGTATGTTTGTGGCTTTTTTTTTTTTTTTTACTATTTTTTTGCTTTGAACTTAGTTCTTGCATAAGTCATCTATGCTGTATCTTCAGGCAGTGAACTTTCTCGTGGTTAGTGCTTGCCTTTCACATGCAGTATCTTCTGGGTGACTGACAATAGGTGGATTACGGTGGAGCAGTGGTGTTCATATGTTAGATATACTTCCAAGATTCTGTTTTTAAAGGTCAGCAATAAGAAGCACTGCTGCCTAAAGCTTAGACTCCTAACACTTGAAATGTAATGTCTTGAATCTGTCAGACTTCAGCAAAGTAGGGGCTGAAAAAGGAGAGGCATTAGCCTCAGCTTGGTGCATCATTACATCTTGAGGTTTATAATCTTATATTTAAACTCTTCCATTGACTCATCTCCAGATCTTCAAAGTAAAACTTCCTTCAAGCCTTGAAAGTTGTTTCACTAGGTTATGCACTTTGTTGGGCCTTCTCATGGCATGGAACTACCTTATTTGAATCTGAAGGGTCCTGTGTTCCTTTTCTTACGATGCAGTCTTCTGTTGCGACTCCCAAAGGGAGAACCTGGGAACTTTAGAAAGAAGATAATATTATCTGAGCTTCTAAAATGAATATTTTATGGAACTGTTTAGCTTTGAAGGAGTTACTTAGCTGTTATTTTTAATTTCCATTTTTCTTGCATCTTTTATGTCTTCTGCTGCATTTTGTGTGTTTCTCAAGTTTCTCAACATGCGTGTAGAGTATCTAGGGTTACGCAAGCTCTATCCTCATAGAGGGCTACTTGACAGTTGTTATTGAAACAAATGCAATGACACATCCATCTAAGCATCTCTCTGACTCTTAGACAAGTGGACAGTAGACTGCCCCAGAAGTGGAAGAAATGAAAATTTATTAGGTATTTAGAACTGGGTAACCTGCAGCTCCAAAAATTTGCTCCAGATGTTAAGGATATCTGTCTTTTCACAGAGACACAATGCCAACACTTTCTTTTCAACTGCATAGTATTTAAAATACCTTCCATTCCTTCCATTTACTATGGCCCAAACATAAGTGAATGCATTATATGTCTTTAAATCTAGAAGTTATAAATATTAAAAATAAAACAAAATACTGGGTGTGATCCACTTTTGTCAGTGTGGTAGAATGCTAGGGAGACTTACTTGCTTGAAGGTTTTTCATGTGTGAATGAAAGTATTATTTAGAGTAATACCTTTCTATTTTTAATGTATCAAATGGTTAGCTAGATGTATTTATTGACTTCCATAATACCTGTTAAATTTGTTTATCTTATAGCATTTCATCTAGATAGAAGAAATTCGCCGCCAAACAGCTTGACACCATGCCTAAAGATTCGCAATATGTTCGACCCAATTGTGTAAGTTTAAAAAAAACTCTATTTTTGTATTCAATTGCAAGTGTCTACTTTTGTTCTCTGAGAGGGGTTTGGAAGAAGAGTAAACATGCATACCTTGAAAGAAGTGTAAGTATGTAGTGTATTTGAATGAGTAACAAACTGCTTCAGGTGCCAAGAGTTAAGGTAGAATAAATAATTGTAGCCTTTTAAAGCTTCACCTTCTGTCATGTTATATCCTCATGGGCTGTGGACTAGATCATGTTGGGAGTTGAGGTCTGACATTTAGGGCACTGACACATTGGTTATGCCAGCTACACCTCTGTGGTCTTTGAAATCTGGTTTGTCCAGGGCAGGGACTCCAGAAACCTCTGAAGTAATTTATTCCCTGATATGATTACATAATGGAGAAAAGAGGATGCTATGCTGCCTTACAGAGTAAAAATAACATGCTAATTGAGACTGAGGAATATGAGAAGCTGAATGCAAAGCAAAAGCTATTGATAAGAATAGGGAATAATAGGAAGCAGGGGAAAAAAAACAGCAGAGACACAAGCAATTGCTAACTTCAGATATATATCTTCTGGTCTGTTTCTTTTCTGTTTCTAGATACGCTTAATTATTTTAGCTTCTTGCCATATTAATTGAAAAGCTGCTAGTTAATTTAGTTGAGGACTTGTTATCCCTACTCTAAAATCTGTTTTCAGTGGCTTTAAGACCTTATGACTATTATGGGCAGAAACCCCAACTGTTGCTTCTTTCATAGCTTCCAGCTTGCAGTAGGGTGAATAAGACTGAACTTTTACGTGTTTTGAGGCAAATTGATAGCTCCTTCACTAGAAAAATGGTAGGAAAAAAAAAAGATTTAATGAGAGTTTTGGGTGACATCAATTGTCCTTGCTACAAAGGAGACTGTGAGCTATATTGATTGGTCTGAGTAGTGCTGAAATCCAGTCCTGAAGCTTCCCTGTAATATTTATGGGAATACTGCATTGGTTTTATTGTTTCCAAATGTTAGCTGTTCAAAATGTATCCCATTAATGGAACTGGTAACTAGGATGTTTCTTTCTTCAAAATAGCACCTCCTTATAGGCTATGCCTTTGCTGTAGACTTCAGTGTTGCTTGACATAGATTGGGTCAGTATTAGAAAGTACATCTAAGCTAAATTTTATAAACTAGTTGTTCTAGTTTTATAAACTAGGTGTGGCCCTCAGGCTGCAGCATCTGACTTAAAATGTTGAGTAGTTTTGGTATATGTTCTAGGCATTTACTATGCCAGGCACAAACCCGTATTCTAAAACAGTCTAGGCATCGTTTGGATAAACCATTTTTGTTTTTCTGCGTCTGTCCACCAAATCGATGACAAGAGTTGGTCACAAAACGTGGTTAGTGTTCCTGTGAGAACCATATTGCCAGCTGATGGGACATACGTGTGCAGGATCAAGGAAGGGCAAGTCCTGCCTTTTGGGGGGCCTGTTGCATTACGGGAAATTCCAAGTTGGTTTCAACTGTTAATGTTTTGTGTGCAAGTTCTGTAAAACACAAAAAAGCAGACTAGACTAGGAGTACACTTCTGTTTAATTTCCAAACAGGAAATGAGCACTTGGGAGTAATTCAGTGACTTGCAGTATTTGGGGGAAAAAAATGTCTGGTTTATACCAAACCAGCAGAAAAACTGATTTGCTACCCTACTCTTCTTGTGTTAGCTGGCTTTCTGCTGATAACAGCATGCTTCTCAAGAAAATCTGACCCCTTGGACACGAGTCCTGAGCTGGGAGGGAGGGAATGCACCCAAGGCAAAATTTCCAGGCTTTTTCAACTTTGACTTTAGTTCCCTAACATCCTGAGCACAGCATGAAAATTTGGAAAATACCGCTGTTCAAACTGTTACGGAACTGGAAGGAATTGGTATATTCCCTTCACAGAATCAATTCAGAATACAGAATCACAGAATATCCCAAGTTGGAAGGGACCCACGAGGATCATCAAGTCCACAAGTTCCCATTTTAGGATGGAAAAGGCCTCTAAGATGATCAAGTCCAACTGTTAACCTAGCACTTCCAAATCTACAGCTGTACCATGTCCTTAAGCACCGCATCTACGTGTTTTTTTAAATACCTCTAGGGATAGTGAGTCAACCACTTCCCTGGACAGCCTGCTTGAATACATCACAACCCTAATGAAGAAATCTTCCTTAATATCCAACTGAAACGTCCCCTGGCACAACTTGAGGCCATATCTTCTTGTCCTGTTGCTTGTTGTTTGGGAGAAGAGACCGATCCCCATCTCACTACCCCCTCCTGTGGGGTAATTGTAGAGAGCAATAAGGTCTCCCCTGAGCCTTCTTTTCTCTAGGCTGAATAAACCCAGTTCCCTCAACTGCTTTTCATAGTATTTATTCTCTAGACCCTTCGCCAGCTCTGTGGTCCTTCTTTGGACACACTCCAGTGTTTTGTTTCAGGTGAGGGGCCCAAACCTGAACACAGCATTTGAGGTGCAGCCTCACCAGAACTGAGTACGGGGGACAATCGCTTACCTAGTCCTGCTGGCCACACAATTCCTGACATGAGCCATTCATTTTGAGCTGTCTAGTACAAAGAAAATATCCTACTTAGACTGACAGACCAAATATATCTTCTAATTTTTGCAGGGTTTTAAGCTGTAGGTGTTTTCCACTGGTAAGTCTCCTTGCCACTGGAACCTTCATTTGCATCTTTTACACACTTGTGTCTATGTCCCACTTTGTTTATATACAATCTTCCTGATTAAGTGGCATTGATTCTCTAACCAGTCAACATCAAATACCAGAAGCAAATCTGGCATTCGATGTTACCAAAGTCCATCAAGTGTTCTTAGACTGTCTTGACACAAGTAGATGCAGATAAATAAGTTTATGGCTGCTTGCAGTTTCAGACAAGAAGGTAATGGCAGGCAGGTAGAAGGGGAGGACAAACCCCTAAAATATGGATTGCTTGTTTGATTCTTAGGACTGAATTTTTTAAAGCAAACTATGAGACCCAATTTACCAAATATTCAATAGCTGAAGTACTAAGTAGGCCCCAAAGGCAAGAAGCTGATGTCAAGTTTTAAAGAAACCACTCAGCTGGCAAGGATGAGATTGTTGGGAATGTGGGGAAGGAGGATGTTTACTCTCTGTGGACTAAACACGAGTAGACTTTACGTTGGTCTTCAGCTAAACAATTTGGTCCGCGGGGAAAAAAAAAATCATTGAAAGTGACAGAAGTTACCTTTCAAGAAAAAAACTTTGATTTTGTAGCAAGCTGCAGTGGAATGAAGCCTGAAAAAATCCAAGCATACTTACTGGCTGTGTGTAGCTTTAAGTAGTTTCTTTAATCAAGAGCAGTATAAAATGTTTTCTTTTAGAGGAGAAAAATGAAAACAAGTCACGTAACTAAAATTTGTGTGGCTGTTGACAGAGTATATGCTCTGTAGCTGCCCATAAATTTGATATTCGTATGTAAGGAGTTGTACTTGCATGCAAGTACTTGTATGCACAATTTTATCCTTAAGGGCTTTGAACTTTAGTATCATGTGCTTCACACCCGAAGGAAACTTTCTGTATTTTTCTCACAGGTTTTTCCAATGTCAGACTGAATTCCTATGTCATGTGATTGAGTAATTTTAGGTACTGAATGGAGAATGCTCAAAACATCAGTTTTTGTTTTAAATTTGTTGGAAGGAGGTACCTCTTAAAATGTAGCTTTGCACTTTATCCAAGTTCTTGATCTCAGCTCTATGTTATAGATCAAAAAAGTACAGAGTAGCCTAGTGTTAGAGGAAAAGATCTGTAGAGCACAATAATGGATGCTAAGGACCTGGCATGATGCTGTATGCACTTTGAAGAGTTAGACTTTGGACCACTCTACTCTAGTCCTACTCTAGACTGAATGCCTGTTAGCAGCTGTGGTACATTAAATGCCCTCTTGATGACATCACTGAGTTAAAACCAAAAATGATTTTAGTTGGCCTACTCTGAGCTGATTCAGTAATGCAAACCAAAGCATGGGGCATGGGGATGAGGGAGAGATTTGCTTCAGGAGCTCACCTGGTCAGGCTTGGAATTCTAACATAAACTCACCCAAATTTGGCACTTCTTTTTTGAACCATTTTAATACTACAATATTGATCAGAATATTGATAAAATATTTTTTATGAAAACTATTGGATCATAATCTGTATACTTCAGACTAGCGTTCTTTCATGTTGCTAGAGTTACTAGCACATCTATTTCTATGTCATGTTTTGCAAGTTTTTAATAGATGATGTGCTTGATTAAACCTTTCATTGTTTGCTTAGGGAAATAGGTGATCACTGGCATCTAGCAATTCAAGAAGCAATCTTGGAGAAATGCAGTGATAACGATGGAATTGTTCATATTGCCGTGGACAAAAATTCACGTGAGGTGAGTGCCTTTCCAGAGACACCTTAATACTGTTTCTCCTTGTCAGCTGGACTTTAACAAAAACTCTCTTTCTTAATGCAGGGTTGTGTATATGTCAAGTGTCTATCTCCAGAGTATGCTGGAAAGGCTTTTAAGGCATTACATGGCTCTTGGTTTGATGGTAAGAAATCGGGGTTTATGACAAAACTTGTAGAAATGGCAGAGGATGGGTGTGGTTTTAAATATCCTTTTAAATGTGCTTTATATCTGAAGTATTTTTAAAGTGTAAAAACACACTTAAAACACTTACGTGTTTTATATCTGCAGTATTGAGCTGTAACAAAAAGTCTTTTTAGTAGTCATTATCACCTGGTAAGCTAATTTCCATGTAATGAAAATGTTTGGGTTTATTTGCTGTATCCTGAAGCAAAATTAATAATCCTAAACTAGAAGATGTTTTTTCTATTTGCCTTATAGGAAAGCTGGTAACAGTAAAATACCTGCGGCTAGATCGATATCATCATCGTTTTCCCCAGGCACTTACCTGCAACACTCCACTAAAGCCATCAAACAAACATATGAACTCTATGTCACATCTCCGTCTTCGGACAGGCACAACTAATTCTCAGGGAAGCTCCTGAGAAGACTTTCTACAACTGCTAGGACTGTTACTTGCAACAGGAATTTTCCTGTTTGGCTGCCGTCTTCCTTTTTTAGTGCTTTTTGTATGTAATACTTTAATGAATTAAATAAAAGTTTGAACGTTCCAGAAATCTTGTTTCCAAAGGGACTTAGCAATGAGGCAGTAATACTGAGCTGACAGGAAAAAAAAAAATTGCTTCAGGAAGTTTTCTGGGGCTATAGTAAACCAGTGCATTTAAGTTTTGCATGAGGAATACCGAATTCATTAAACATTTTCAGATGTGGTGACTGTATTTTTGCACCAAGACGTGTTTTTGATAATACAAAAGCATGGAGAAAAGACTTCCTGTATTTCCATAGTTTCCTGTGAAATAATCTTGTGGGTATTTTGTAACAAACAACCTACAGTTCCTGATGGTGAATAAGTTCAAATATTTTTTTTTTCTCAGTCAATATTAGTTTTTTTTTTCTTGCCGTAAAATAATAATTATCTGCAGCTAGGGTATGGGAAAAGTTAATTTGGCATTAGTGGTTGCATTGTAAGTGTGAGGGAAAACATACTGAATGAGGATGTACTAGGTTTTGTATATAAATGTAAATGCTGGTGGTGGCAAAACTGGTTGTGTTCTGTGAGGATGTCTGCATTGAAGCAGTGAATAAGCTTCCTATTTTATTCAAAACCTAATGTTTTATATGGTTTTGGCTATACCATGACAAGAGGCCAAATACCTTAAAGTGTTAGATACAAGTTAAATATCTTTTATAGGTTTTATATTAAAATATCTTATGATTTTGTGTGAGAGGTCTGATACCAATTGTATTGAATTCAAATTTGTGAGCAATAAAGAAGCAATTGGCAGATACTGGAAAAATATTTTGTGAAAAGCTGTATTTATTATGACAATTGCCAGGGCTGTGACAAAATACCATTTGGGATTAAGTGACTTTCCCAATATGCTGTAACTTGTTGTACTGAACCAGTTACCTGACAAACTGTTAAAAGGTACATACTTCCTTGCAACAATTTTGGTTGATACAAACTAGAAGTACAGCTGACAGTAAATTTTGTGATACCAAACTCTAAATTTACTAATGTTTACCCCGAACTCCAAAATTGTTGCTGAGAAGTTTAGTTGCAAATCTAAGATTATTGGCTTTGCTGATCCCAACTTCCACAGTGATTTTTATCGAAGTATCCAGCTGAATATCCCATAGGGGTTGAGACTGGAAGCACACCAGTCCAGAAAATGTTATCGTTAACTCACTTTACTTTGTAGATATGATGGATTTGCAGCATGGACTTGCACAAATAATGCACGTTTTTCTTATGGTTAAGTAAACATGATGCACACTATTCTGCAACAGAAAATCCTATTGTGCCTTACCTTTGTGCTTTTGTGGGCACCATGTTTATTATTGGAGTTTGTTAACCGAAAAATTTTAAATCCTCAGTTTTATGTCTCAGATGCTAATGAATGAGTATATATAATATATAATCAGCCATGCAGAATTCTACTTACCGAGGACAAGTACATATTTTTGATGGGTAAGTGGATTGTGCCAGGTCTGGTAGATTTTGATGAGTTTTACTATATACATATATGTATATGTATAATATACATGTATATGTATTATATATATGTATATAAACTAATTTTGTTGTATTTGATGTGCATCATAGTGATTTGTTAACCTGACCTTAGTGACCCCATCTTGTGACCTGTTGCAAGAGTGAATGTAAAAATAGTTGTGGCATTTTAAAAGGTCGCATCTTGATACAAATGCATCCATCTTGCTTCTAAAATATATTTCTTGTAAACACTGTACATTATTATTGTAATATGTACTATTATGCAGCTTATTTTACCGTAAACTGTTAAGTTGACCAATCTCCCTTCCTGCAAGACAGATGGGAATGTGTATAATACCCGAACATTTGAGAACAATCAGATGTTTGTTGTAACTTGTCACCCTGTCCTGTAAAGAAAGAAAAAAAAAAAAAAAGAAAAGCAAACCAAACTCAAATTAAAGGTTTATTAGGGGTTTTTACACGTGTCTCACCTCCTAGCTCCTCGGATGCCTTTTCTCTGGGGATGTTTGTTTGCAGCCTGGAGGGAGTTGCCTCAGCTTCTGAGGGGGGTCAGGGCTGGGGGGGGGGGGGGGGGTGTTGGGGGGGGCGAGCTTTGCTGAGGGCTGGCAGCTGAGGCTGAGGGAGTGTGGGGCTGGCGTAGAAATGGGAAAATGTCACAGAATCGGTAAAGCCCTTCGCTTTCTGCCGAGCCCGCTGGGGGTGGGGGCGCCGGGCGCTCTGCTCATATTTGGCGTTGGCCGCCGGTGCCCAGGAATTTCCCGTCAGGCCCGCCTGGGCGCCGGGCCCGTCCCCGCCATCCCGGGAAGGGGGGGGGACGACACCGGGGGGGAACCGGGGCCGTCGCTCCCTCGGGCCCGGCCTCTCCTCTCCGCCTCGCCTCGCCTCCCCTCATGCGCGCTGCGCCGCCGCCGCTGCTCCCCGCGCTCCTCCTGGCGCTGGCGGCCGCCGCAGGAGCCGCAGGTAGGAAGGAGCCGGCCCCTGCGGCGAGGGGAGGGCGGGCCGGGGGGGAGAGGAGAGGAAAAGGGGGAGCCGGGGCCGCACCTGCGGGGGGTAGGGGGGGGGACCTCGGCACGGCCCCGGCACCGCCTCGCGGGGCCTCCGAGGCCGCCCCGAGCAGGCCGGGTCCCCGCAGGGTCCCCCCCCCGGTGCCGGGGTGAGGGGGGGGGCGGGCGGCGGGTCCCTTCCCCGCCGTGCCCGGCTCGGGGAGTTGGGTTTCGGCGGCCTGAAAGGGAGTTGAGGCGTCGTGTGCGCCTCCAGAGCCCGGTCAGCGGTTTCTGGATTCATGATTCCCACCCCAAAGGGCTCGGTGCGCGCGTCCGAGCTGCGGCTGGGGTCCCGCCGTCCCCTTTCTTTCCCCGCCGTCCCCTTTTCGGGTTAATCCAGCGGGTTTTGGGGCTCCTTTCTGTCCCCAGGGGCTGCCGCCAGGCTGAGTTGAGCTCCGTGTGGCTGTGACAGACCTGCGGCAAACGCCGGCTCCTCTGGGGTCCCTGTAAGGGCTGCCCCAAGGCACCCTGACCCCAAAGGACACAGCCTAACGAGGGGTGTGCATGGGCAGCGCCAGGTGCCTGCTGCTCCCCAGCGATAAATACCGGCTATTCATAGGAGATTTGAGCTTATATATATCTAGGGGAGCGCAGAGCTCTGTGTACGCGTCGGGCTTGGAGCTCTTTTCCCTCCCAAGCTTCCTGCTGTGGCCACCAGCTCGGTCCCAAAGCCGCGATGTGCCCGCCTGGCACGGCCTGCTTGGGGCGAGCAGACCCTACAAGGAAAACCCGGCTCTGCTCCCACGAGGGCACAGCGCCGGGTATTGCCAGCCCAGGGGCTGATGCTTCGCCTCTCGTCCTGCCCATTGCCCTCGCCGAGCTGCCACGAGCGCTCGCGGTTCTGCTTGCTGACGGTTCCCAACTGCATGCCTCCGCCGTTCGTCACGGCTCCTGGGCTGCCAAATTTGGTTGGTAACGGTGCCCTTTAAAGCCTGGGTCTGGAAGCAGTTTCCATGTGGCTCGTCATCCTCCTCAGACGTTTGCTCATAGTTGCGAAAAGAATCGCCCGCGTTGCTGTAGGCACGGCTTAATTCAGAGCAGCATCCCTTAGCCACCTTTTTAACGTAGGGAATTAAGTAAAGTGAATAGTTTAACCAGCGTTGCTAAATAATCCTATAATTCTTGTACGGAGATTTTACTTTTTGGACGAAGTTCTGCAGTGATTTCTCAAAACCACCGGGGCTGGTGGAGCTCAGCCATCTATAGCTCAGTCCCAGACTGCGGTTGGTTGGTCATTTTCCTGTCTGACGTTTCTTGGATCTTTACAATACACATTAGAGAAGAACTATTAGGAGAAAAAAAGAATTCTATTTTTCCCCCCGAAAAAACACAATCTTTAAAAATAGTGCCGTTGTAATGTTTCTATATTTGGTACCAAAGCCATATAAAGCAGTTGATCCTTGACGAAAATAAAATCTTTTGACTCAATGACCTTGTTTATTTTTCCAAGGGGTGCTGTTTATACGCTCCCTCAGGGATTTGGTTAATATGGATTTTGTTCTTGCAAGTACCATAAGATTTCCTCACAGCTGTGTGATAAGGGAAACTTGCACACGGGGAAGATACTTGGTACGTTGCCCTGATATTTAGGAAGGTATGAAGAGGATTTTGTTTGCCTGCTTGCGTTTAGTCAGCTTTAAAGATGATACTTTTTTCTGTATCATTTAAAGCCCAGCCTATTTATTTAAAGCCCAACCTGAGACATGCTAGAAAATTAAAATTCCCTTTAAATAAATGGTTAAAGGTTTCTTTGTTATGTTGTTGGGTGTATTTGAAAGGATGGGGGAATAGGAGGGAGAGAAGAGATCTTGCTGTTAAGGATTTAATCTTCTCAGCCAGAAGGTCAAGAAGTCTGCCTGTCTGCATCTGGCTGGCACCGCTACAAGGCAGCGATGCAGCAAAGCCATCCAATTTTCAGATAGCTCCGGTGAGTTGCATAATTCAAGTGCGTCCTCATTACAGATCAACACTCAGACAACGTGCAACATTTGTGTCAGCCCTACATAGGGAATATGACCTTTTTATTTTTTTTTCTTTTCCCCTTTGTATTCTTTTTCTAATTTCATTAACAGCTCTAGTTTTGGCAGCCCCCAAGGCACAAACTTCCTCGCACCGTGCAGGGTTTAGCTGATGGCAACTTGGGGTAAACTGTCCGCCTAATTGTAGCTCAGTCTAGCCCTGAATTGGTTGTGGGTTCCTTCAGCCAAAAGACGCCCAGGAAAATGGAACCTCACATTCCTGGTGCATTGAGAGCGGTGTGTATAGAATGAATGTAGGATAAAGCAGGGTAGGGATTTTAGCTGCCCCCGAGTCACTCTGGAGCTGGTATGCTTGTTTTGGAACAGACTCCAGGACTCCAGGGAAATCGGTGGTTTCTTGCTCTGGAGTACTTGTGTCCATACATGGACTTATTTAGAGGCAACTTTCCGCGTGTAAGCAGAGATCTTGAAAACCTAAGGGCAAAACCAGGAAAACTTACAGCCTTTGGGGCTTTCATTTTTGTCTCATAGAGCATGAAGCGGCTCCTGGTTAACCTCCCTCGCTCCTGTCACTTCTGTAAGGCTGTGTTGTTATCTTTCCAGATACTTCATTCACCTCGGGAGGATGTTGGGTTCTCTGTAAACTATTACAGCAGCACAAAACTAAGCATTTAATCCCTCCTCTGTGGAAATGTGTGGGTATATAACTAGCTGGCAGTGTTTTAGAAGTAATTTCCAATTTGGCACTTAAGAAAGGGACGGGAGCATGCATTGTATCATCAGCTTCTACCAGAAGATGAAGAATGGCGTTTGGGCTTTAAAGGGGATTTTTGTGTCCTCTACCTGTGGAGATGGCGATCCTTCTGTTTTGTCTGAAAGCAGGCCACGGGAGCTCTTTGGGAGCTCCATTCATCAGGAGGCGATTGGAAATTATAATTTATCTCCTTAGCTCCAGCCTTCTGGTTCTCATTTAACAGCCTCGGTTCCAATAGCATTATCTGAAAGCCACACAATCCAGCAACTGTTCCGGGGAATAAAGAGGCTTTTCTCCATAAGGACTTTAAGACCTGAGGAGTTGAAACAATACCAGCCCAAAACAGGCAAGAGCAGCGCTTAAACTTATAAGGTGCTAACACAGTTTTGCTGTCTTCACGCACTTAAATTTGAGCTCGGCATTGTTTTGTAACATGATTAATAGCACAAGTGCTTCTTTATTTACAGGGAGCGGTGGAAATGATCTTTCCAGTAAGTTTTGTTTTTAAATATCATTCAGCATTTGAGTGTTGCACGGACAAAACGTGAAGACAGGACTGCTGCCGAGCTCCCCCGCTCACGCTTTCTTTTCAGTAGCATCCAAATGCTGGGATTAAGGATTTCTTTGAAATGTAGGTAGCAATTTAGCAAAACATACATAGTGTGCATAGTTTGTTGGGAAAGAGTACTCCAAGCGTGGCGTTGGGTGTATTTCCCCCAGGAGCTTTTTAACTCCCTGTTCTTCCAGAGAGGGACAACGCCTTTGCGTTGCACCTGATGGAAAACAACTCCCTGCTGCCAGGAAATAACAATAGTGCTGGTGGAAAGTTACTGCCAAATGCCATCGGTTTCACTCCCACTGCACAATGAGAGTGGAAAAAAGAAATCAACCCAAGGCATCTTAGCGGCTTCCTGAGGAAGTGATCTGTGCCAGTCCATGCCAAGAGAAAACAGTCCCGAAAATGTGCAGCCCGGCTAAGAGATTGCCCTGGTCTCGTTGAACTTTATTCCCCAGCACCTGGTTCTGGGGCTCAAGAAGCATGCAGGGAAGGTGCCAGAGCTTTTAGCCACTGGTATTTTCAAGGATCTGCGTGGCTGGTTGCCCGGGGTCAGGTTCACAAGGGCGTTGCTCTCAGTGGTCTGGCCTTTGGACCCCTGTGACAGGTCCGGGAGTGCTGGGCCAGCCTAAAGCACGTGCTGGTTTGGTGTGAGGTTGCTGTGCCTGCTCCGGTCTGGCCGTGCACTGACCCAGCTGTTGTGATCCTGATTTTCAGGATCAGTTTTTTACAGTATTAAAATCAGTTTCGTTAATTCCGTATCGACAGAGGGAAGTGCTGATAGCACACCTTGCTCTGTGTGCTCTTCCTCATTTCTGGTCTTCCACAGAGCTTGGCACCCTGCGCCCAAAAACGCACGGCAGCTCTGCTGCCTGCCTCTGAACTTCAGAGAGGTGCTGAGCTGTGCCGAGCTATTTTAGCAGGGGTCAAGCCACGCCAGGTCAGATGACAGCCAATGCTTTGCAAGACCCTCAGGCTCTGCCCTTGAGGTCCCTTAAAATATGAAATACAGTAGCTGCTAAAGGCTGGGGAGAGGTTTTATTGCTTTGCTACATATGAATTATAGAGTAATAGCTTTTTATTTAAAATATGCCAGGCAAGTAATAACGCTGGCAGGGATACACACACTGTAACAGCTTCTTGGTGCGACACTATTAAAGATAAGCTGCAGGTTTTCAGAGCGTTGTTGCATCTCCACAGTCACTCTTGCAGATAAACAAAGTTCTTCAAAAATTTTTGCAGATGTCAGACTTTCTGAAGTTTTCTTTTTTTTTTTTTTTTTTTCCCCTCTTTTGGACTCTCCCATGTTACTTCTGTCTCATGCCCCAAACCAGCCCCATATTCCAGCTGGTACCTCGCTGCTGAGGAGAGCAGATTTCCCTCCAGCCCCTGCTATTATCTATGATGCTTCTCTTAGTAATAGGCTCCAGGCTGTCACTTGCCTTTTTTTGCGGTACTATCACACTGTTAGCTCAGTCTGTAGGCACTGTAACCCTGTCATCCTTTTCTGCAGTACTGCTGCTGGTCTTGCACTCTTCATTTTGTTTTTGTTTTCCATTTTTTGGATTTTTTGAGCGTTTCTGTTTTTTTTTTGATAAAGTCCAAATATGGTTCTTTGTACATGGCTG